CCTCCTATTGATCTTGTGCCTCAAGCGAGGATAGCTCCCCCGCTGCAGGCTCACCCCCCCAGTTTCTTCCTGTGTATGGGGGTGTCGATGAGTTGCAGAGGTGAGGGGAGATGTAAGAAGATGAGCCTTTGAGCCCTCGGGCTTTCTGAGCTTCGCGAAGGTGTTGCGGTCCTCCTCACCACGCTGGTGAACTTAGTGATTCCGGCCGACTCTGCTTCCAAGCAGGCCTATCAGGCGCTACCCTGCACGAGCTCGATGCTTGTGGCTTCTGGGTTTGGGCTTGGAGGGGACGTCAGGCTCTCGATGATTGCTGGGGCGTGATCCGCGGCGCCCTGGAGGAGTGGGTCAGTCCACCTCAAGCTAGAACCGTAAGTGTGGTTGGGCAGGAGCTCTATGACCCCAACGTCAAGAAAGTCACTTTCCGCGCCGATCAAGCAAGGGCCCTGCTCACGAAGGCAGCTTGTCTTGGTGTGACCCTGCTCGCTTCTGTGACCGGTCTTCCGCCTTCCTGGCCGCACGAGATGATCTCGGCAGGCTCAAGGCATGGGACACGAGGCCGACTTCGAGCCGCGCCTCTGGAAGATGCCTTGGCAGTCGAACCTTTTTGATAAAGTTGTAGAGGACTGCGCCTTTCACCTTTGTGCGCCTACGTGCAGGCAGATCAATTGTGCAGGAGACCCATCACATGGTCGCCACACTCTCTGCCATCGAGACCTCCATGGCAGAGGGCGGCGTCGACGGTGCCGAGTGGCTCGGCCTTTGGTGGACTTCGTGTGATCGCCGTCCAACTCAGCCTTACTTAGGAAATGCGAACCAGTACGATTGCTGACCCAACGCAGCACGCTCTTCAACAAAGGCGGCGTCATGTATGGTGTTGACTGGAAAAGGTTTCGTTTTCGGTGCCAGTCGCCATCGATTCCTCTGGGTCGTCAACTTCATGTAGTTCGTTCAGACCCTTGAAGCTCTGAGATTAGCTAATGGTTTGGGCATTTTGGCATGGCCCACCTTTGAGCTGCTACATTCTCCAATGTTTTTTGGCTAGGGTGTATGGCGATCACAGGCGGCAATACCATCAACAAGAAGCTCGACGTCGTACGGAGGCCTCGTCCTTGAGGGCTGGAAATGACTTGTTGACTGGCTGCTGTGGTTATTTAGGGTTTAGGGATGTTAGAGATATGCTCAGATGTGAAGTTTCTAGGCTCTAGGGCAATGGTATGGGTCAGCACAGCTTAACCGATGCACAAAAAGAAGCAACCAAGCAACGCCGGTCTTTGTGTATACAAGCTTAGACATGCTGAAGTTCCAATGATATACCTGCCAACGCGTGTGCCGTCGCGAGTTCTATCTTTGTACGACCACGTGAAACTTTTGCCTTGTACAAGCACACAGAAATCATTGTTTTACAACTTCGCAATTGGTGGGCACAACTTTTGCTGTCCGGAGTCGCGGTGTTTTTTGTGTCGCATCGCGAAAGATGTTCTCGTGAAAGTTGTGAGTCATATGTGCAAATGTCTGCCTGCAGCAAGAACTCATGAAACTTACAAGCTGTGTGCGCTGTCACGGTCAAGGCATCGGAATCAGCCAGCGCAGACAAGCAAGAAAGGAAGCATCAAAGACAGCGTCTGAACCCATTTTTGACTGTGTGTGGTCTCGTGCCTGGCATCGCTTATTCCTTCAGGCTTCTAGGGATCTTCGCGCACGAGACATCGCAAAAGCTGCTCAGACGCATCAAGATGTAAGGGCACAGGATTTGGCCTGAAGGGTGTCTCTCAGAGCCTGTGGGATGCAAGAGCGAGCGAGAGAATCTAAACATCGAAAGAGGGAGACGTACCGTTTCGAGGTTTCCGGTCCTGTCAGAGCCTGACGTCTTCCACACCTTCCGTGATGAGGACTCGGTTGCGGAAGAGTTGTCTATGACAACGGAAGCCTTTGCAAGTTTGGGGCGGTTTGGTATGGTTCAGCTCGCAATGACAACAAGAGGTGCCCTGTTCTCTTATCCATGGGGGCCATTGCCGCCGCGAGCAGCAACTGAATGTGGATTTCACTTCCATGTTTCAATCTGGGCCATTTTTGGGAGGAGTTGCTGGCGGAGCAAGATTTCATCAAGTGGCTCGGCTGCAGTTCGAAGTTCGGGTCAGGCCTGCCAGGCCATCGCGGCAGCTCGGGACGGGTCCCATAGCACGCGGCGAGATTCTCTCCACTCTGTCATGTTATTGTATATGTCGGTATATCATCCATGACCTAGCTCTAGCCAGCTCCCAGCCAGGAACGAGCTGCCGCAGTTGTTCGGGAAGGATGCGGCCTTCGCGAAGTCCGTCTGCCATGACCAAATGGCACATATGTGTCCTTGCCGAGAATTTTGTAGATTCACTTACCGGGTATGGGCAGGAACTTCCAGAGCTAGCCGTCTAATCCTCGACGTGCCTCCATGAACACAATACGCCTCTATACGTCTCCACAGCTGCGAAGCTGTGGACAACACATTGTGAGACGCACCAGGCTAAACTGTTTGTGCCCAAAGCCAAAGACATGGGTGAAGTAACATGCTTGGCCAAGATGCTACGCAGCTGAAGATCGAGCCCAGGTCCATGGTTCTTGCAAACGTGAGCCGGATGAAACTTCTCCTTCGAAGAGTGCAGCACGTGATCTTGCAGAGCGGTTCCTAGGATTGAGGACCAGGCGAGAGCGTGGGACAACATTTGCAACCTTAGCAATTAGGTTGCACAGGGCCCAAGGTCAATGCTCTCTAGTCACTCGGGTTGCGAACTGAAGATAGTAGAGATACCGGGGGCTTTCCCTCTGAAGCAGTCCTTCGAAGAAAGGATCCGTAGTTCGAGTTCGGATGTCAGCCAGATTCGCTGCGCAGCATCGGAGAGAGAGCTGCTACGTTCATCTCTGCTGTTTTCAGTAGCTCCTAAGACCATGGGATTGAAGACCATAAAGTTCGGGCACGACATCAAGAACCGCCGAAGGCCAACGTGCTGAAAAGGACGGCAACTCTGCAGTCTTGCACAAGGCGAGAAGAGATGACAAAAAAGGCGTGCGCGCAGACAGACACTTGAGCTGATTTCGAAGGGACCTTGCGTCTTTCTTGATGTTGTTGCGAAATCAGGTTCCAACAGGTCCCCTAGAGTGTTGTTTCTTTCCATCCTCCATCCCGGCTCCTTTCTGGAGGACCCCCGGTTCGAGTGCGGGTCCTCCTTCGGAGTACTGGGAGTCAGATGAAGGCCAGCGGGCAAGCCGGTCCGGGCTCAGGGTCAACCGGGGCGATGGTTCTGTGCGAAGTGGGCAGCTGAGACAGTCAAGCGGGTCGAGGTTCGGCGCCCGAGGGCTGCTCCGGGCACGGGCACGCGATCTCTCACTCTCTCTCTCTCTCTCTCTCGCTGTCTCGCTCGCTCCTCTCTCCTTCGCTCGGCGGTGGGTTGGGATCTTTGGCGGTTTCGAACGGAGGGCCATGAACAAAGACCCTGACACTGGAGGGCCGCCCACTCCGGCCTACCAGAAGCCCCGGCGCCCGCGCCGAGTGTCACAGGCAGGTTGCCCTTTCAGAGTGCCTTGTATGTTTCCCGTGACTCTCGTAGCAGGCGGGTCTGGGCGTGACGTCAGCCCCAGCCGCCCTAGCTCATGGCTGCGGGTCCGCAGGCCTGGCGACTAGAGATGAGCCTGTTTGCTTTCATCCTCGCGTTGCGTCCGTGGTAAGGTAGGTAGGAAGGAGGGGTCAACAAGAGCAGCAGGAGCCCAGCTTAAAGTTCCACCGCTGACATTTTCTGGGCATGCTGACGATGGGAGGAGAGAGGAAGGGCTTAGGGAGCGACACGTCCACAACAATCACACTGGTACCAAACACGGCTTGCAAGGAAGACAGGGCATGCATGGCAGACATGGACTAAGAACAGCAAGAACTATGACGGCCGCAAGAACAAAAGCACGACCAACAAGGAGAAGGGCACATAGACCAAAGGCAATTGCAATAACCGTGACAGGCGCAATGTGTGGGACACTACTCGTAGCCGTTTGCGACTTCTGCCATGGTAACGGCAAAGCCTAGCGGGCCTAGCAGCTTTGGTACTTAATTTTAGTAGTGCTCGGAAAGTAACTTGCCAATCAACAGGCAGGTCCCTTGACATCCTACCCATACCGAGGAAATTAAAAGGAAAATCAAGACGCCGGTACTCCCCGTCGACAAGAGATTAAAAACATGCCCGCGCACAATCGAAGCACCAACAGCAGATGGCCAGACCAAACTGAGGTCAAAGTCGCTCCTGCTCTCCTGTTCTCAAAGCAGCTCGGGCCGCGAGATTTTCAGATCCAATGGCCGAAGATTCGTGCTGCTCAGATCATCGCAACTTCAGCCGCTGGATCTCTCGGACAGTGCATCAAGTTTAGGAATAGCTAAACTGGAATCTCACTCGCGCGAAACATTGAGATTCCCTTCATCCCAAGAAGTTGAGCATCGCAATCCTTACGACACAGCTCAACTCAGCCGAAACCGAGGATGGTAGTGAGCTTCTCACGGAGACAGCGATGGAGCCAATGCACCATGGCTGAAGCTCGAAAGTGATAACGAGCATCTCCGGTAGTGAGCACATGTAATCAGGACCCTATGCGAATGTGCCCGAGTCCCCGCTGTGTCAGACAAAGACAGCACTTGATCTCGAGGCCGCAGGTTCGGATTGAGCGGGAGGCGACCAGCGAAGTGAAGGAGAGTTCCATGGCCAGAGGCATCGTCGAGTGCACCACTTCTTTCTTTTTTGCAGGCTGGGGGATTTTTCGGTCAGGTGATCCTAGGGCTGGCGTTGCTAGGCCACGGACAGGATTCCATGTCGCCAAGCAAAGTCATCAGAAGGGGGGCAGGACGTGCAAGACGCATGGGAGTTAGCGATCATCTTTGCAGGTTTCGCATTTAGGACGGCAGAAGTGTTGCAGCAGCTGCAGTGCACGCACCACCGGTCTGCAATCCGATGTCTAGGTGTAGCCGGACTGACTTTGTAGTATTACAGAATCCTATATAGGTTTTGAGGTGCACTATACTATGGCTACTATGCGTAGTACTATGGCAACTATGCGTATATGAAGGAACCGTGAGGAGCAGTATTTATATTGGTAATTATTCCGGTATCCACTCTGCCAGGCGAGGAGTCTGCTCCCTCCCTCGCAGCCAATGAAAAGGGTCTGACCCAATCGCCCCAGGCCGGAGCCGTGGGATACTCATAGAGTCTTTGGACTCAGATACTCTCTTCCTTCGGTAGAAAGTATGTGTTTGGCTAGATTGGGTGCTCATAGTCTGAAGAAAGCGAGACAGGAATGAAGTATGCGACGGTGACAGGAATCGCTGCAACCGCTGACGTAAGACAGCCCTAGTTCGCTGCAAGTAGAGCAATACATCGTATGTGCGTTTGCACCGATGTGCCAGCGAGATGCTGAGTTGATGCGTCTTTTGCGGCTAAGATGGGCTACTGGGTGCAAGTTGACACCATCCGTGGACTCCCCAGAGCAGGGAAAGGCGGCTATCAGGCGCGGGCCACAGCACTGACATCTTTGCAATCGTTCCGCGGAGTGCAAGCCTTCTAGACGGTGGAGACTGTTGTCACTCGCTGTTTGCACTTTCGGGCTGCTGGTCCTGACAGCCTGTGCCTGCCGCAGCTTTCCCTACTCCAACGGAGTTTATCGGGTCTTTTGTAGTATCGCAAATATGAAGGCTTGTTACGAAGGTGCTCACACCCTTATCTTCGACGAGGGATCCTTGGAACACATCAGTAGCAAGTTTTATGGTTTGGCATTTTTGAAGGTAAACGAGGGCACGTGTTCTGCGGAGGCGCATGCGACAAGGAAGACTTGTGTCGTGCAGGAAGGTCTTGTATTGTGCAGCCTGCTCGTCAGCGCATCTCATTCCAAAAGTTCCGCTCCAGATTTGTTCCTGGATTTTCGTGATGGTGAGCAGTGTAACGAGCCCCCAACGTGGAGACCACGACTAGACTAGAGCATCTTGTTGACTTCTCCTTGTCCTTGTTGAATTTGAAACGGTTGGCCTTGCAGATTTTGGGGTGCATGATTTAGAGTCGAGACACCATGCTGACAGGGCTGGCAAGTCATAAAAAGGCGTTGCATGGCGTTGCGGTTCGTGCCAATCGAATCGGTCTCAGGAACACATGCTAGGAACATAGAGCAAGTTCTTGTCCCTCGCATGATGTTCTTTATTCTCGGTGCCGTCACTCTCGATGTCGGCATATATGCATGATAGATAAAATGTATTGTAAATGCGGGAATAAATAGATTGTGTATAAATAGATACATGAATAAATAAGTATGATATAGTATGATAAATAGAGAAGTTCATATATGCAAAGGGAAGTCAACAAATGAATGCGCAAATACAAGACATACAAATATGCATACACACATATATCTATATATGTTTCTATATATATATATAGTACATAAGACATACGAGAATATATATTTGTATATACACAAGCATACGTATCATACATGTGTATACGCATACATACCTGCACACACATTTTATATTTTTCCATATATATATACATACATATACATGCATCGTATGTATATGTGTATGTGTATATATATATATATTATAATATGAGTATATGTATCATGCCCTTCGTTCGCCAGCCGATCACCACAGTCTGTATTGGAGCTCTAGGTTCGATCCGTTTCGGTTTTTTTGAACACGACGGTGATGCCAAACGCTCGGTGCAATCGCGGAGCAGCTCTGTGGGGCTGTGGTCTATTTCGTCTTGAGTGTTCCCTTGGTAGCTGAGGACGTGGCCAAGACAGCTTACAAGTGTTGGCCATGGAGCTCTTGGGTCTCGTGGAATCCCGGGTGGAGACGCCGCTGATCTATGTGTACATCTTCGGGCGTGTGGAGAGTCAGCGCAATCCGAGCAAACACAGGCCATGCGACGTGAATGGCAGCTTGGCCCTCTCTCATGTGAAAGGCCTGCTGCTGCTCAGCTGCAGGCGTCAAGTGGTGCCTCTGGCTCTTCAGAATTTTGTGTGGGTTTGGATCCGAGGTTGTCTCTCAAGCAGCCTGTATATGGGGTGGCGCTCGGTGAAATCGGCTCTACTGGCACGTCCCTCTTGGAAGTTTGTGACTTTGCGATCTCCGAGCGGCACATTAAAGGTGCGGGGAGGGGGGGAGGGGGGGGGGGGCGGAATTTGTGGGAGGTTGAACCGCGCCGAGCATTGGCAAGAATACCAGGAATCACAATGCCAAAACCCACCAAACCGAACGGAAATGCGATACCAAGCTTGCGGCCCTTTCAGGCATACCAACTCGTGTCTTGCAACCGGGCGAGATCGATCTGGTGAGACACGCCAGCACTTGTCCGGGCGCTGTGAGTTGTGAGACCGGCTTGGCACAGCTATATCTATATCTGTATATATATATATGTGTATAGTTCTATAAGCACATAAATATAGATATACATACAGATGTAGCTATAAGTGCAAGTTTACTATTAGACAAATGTACACATGATCACAAGGATACATAAATATAGGCAAAATACATAAACAGATATTTGTATAGTTAGATAAACGTACATCTATACATACATACATATATAGGTATATATATATATATACTTATAAATATATATATATATATACTTATACACATATATATATATATGTATATATATATATATGTATATATATATATATATCATGCAAACCACCCTCCAAAGCCTACCTCGAAGCCTCTTGTTGTTCTTTTTTAGACTACGTTACGACTCCACTCCGAACAAGAGTCTTGTATCCCACAGCCGTTCAAACCACGGTTAGTGATAGTGAGTCTGGCTTATTATCCCCTTTCCACGATGCCGCAGACCCGCTCAAGCCTAGATAGTGATGGCAAGTATTGCCTAGTATTCCCTCTTTACGACGACACAACGCCGTTCAAACCAAGATGATGAAACTAAGAGTTGCCTAGTGTTCCCTGTCTACAAGAAAACAAAACCGTTCAAAACGATATAAAGAGACTAAGTATTGCCAAGCATTTTCCTCGCTACGGCGACACAACACCGTTCGAACCAAGATAATACAACGAAGTATTGTCCAATGTCCTCTGTATATTACGCCATTAAATGGCGAGCTCCGCTTGATTTTCCTTATTTAAGTCTTTATCTGTAGGGTATGGGTATTGCATAAGGTATTTTAAAAGGTATCCTAAAAAGTATTCTAGAGGATATTCTATGAGGTATGTTTGAGATACACAGAGGGTATATTACATAGGCCTTCTTCTGTAAGGTATTCTATTTGGTACTCCATAAGGTATTGTACCAAAGGTATTCTGTAGCCTCCTTTTTTCGGAAGATATTCTGTAAGGTATTCTACATGAAATTCTTTAAAATACATAGAGGTGGTATTCTATAAGGTGGTTGTAAGGCTAATCTTCTTGGTTCTTGATTCCCCTCACCCCTTACCCAAAAGCTCTCAGATCTTGGGCTCCGACTGGTTTTCCATATCTAAAGTCCCTATCTATAGGATGCTTTATAGGATACTATATAGGGGATTCAGAAGGGTATCCTATGAGGTATTCTATAAGCTTTCTATATGGCATACATAAGGTATGCAGGACGTGTCATATGTGGACGGTCTTCTATAAGGTTTTCTGCAGGATATTCCAGATGGTATTCTATAAGGTATAGGGTATATCGGTGGCATTGTATACAGTTTCCTTATAGAGTAGACTAAAAGGTATTCTATAGGTTATTCCACAAGGTATCGCAGAAGCTATTTTATAGGATATGTATAGGGGTTGTGTTATAAGGATTCTGTTCTTTATATGTATCCCTTACTAGATAAGCTTCAATTGTTGTTCAAGCACTTCCTAGATCCTATTCTAGGGATTTCACATAAACCCCTTACCCAGCAACCTACACATGCAACTGGGGAACTCGCAGATTTTCGGTATAGAAGGTAAACGGGTGGTATTCGATAAGGTATTACCGTGTTTTACATCAACTTCTTTAAGGTTTGTAGAAGGGTATTCTGTAAGGTGCTGTGCAGGCTGTTCTCTTTTATTCATCGTTTCTTTCGTAGAAATCTTCCCTTGCTCAACAAACTGCAAGATGGGCTCCTCCTGATTTCCCCCGTATAAATCCTGATCTACAGATTCTCTTTCGAGTATTCCAATGGGATTCTCAAGGGTATAGAAAAGGTATACAGGGAACATCGTGTATAGGATTTGCTATAAGGCATTCTATACAGTGTTCCAGATGGTATTTTATGAGGCTTATATAGGGTATATAAGGGAAAAGCAAGGTATTATGGAGTATTCCATAAGGTGTTGTATAAAAGGTATTCTTTAGGGTGTGTGTATATATACAGATGTATATATCTGTAGATATATGGGAAAGAACTCTGTAAGGTATGATATAGGCGAACGGGTACTCCATAAGGTATATACAAGGTATATAGGATATTTTCTTTCTGGTAATGCCCAGGGTATTTCATATGGCATTCCTGAAGGTATATAAACACGACGGAAAATATCAGAAAATATCAAACTTGATATTTTTCGTTGCTTTGGACATTGAATATCGAAGATCCTGGGACAAGTTTCTGTGGGATCTTCGATGTTCCATGTTCAAAGCAGCGAAAAATATCAAAAACTACCAAAAGTATCAAGTTTGTTTTTTTGTTGCTTTGAACATTGAACATCGAAAATCCTGGGAAAAGTTTCTGTGGGATCTTCGATGTTCGATGTTCAAAGCAGCGAAAAGTATCAAGTTTCAAATTTTCATTTTTTTTGGATATTTTTTGTAAGTGTGATGTGTGCGGTCTAGTCTTTAATCGATGTGACTGCAGTGTGCAAACTGATGAAAGGTAGTTTTTTTGGTGGGGGGGGGTACCATATATGTATATATATATATATATAGAGAAACATATCGATATCGGAACTAAGGATGACCATTATTGCCGCCGAGGCCGAGGCCATGAATGCTGCCGAGGCAGGATGTACAGCCTTGTGCCAATGCAATCAGAGTCGCTCAATGATTTCTCAAACCTCAGGCAAAGAGGCGCCCCCCCAACCAAGTTGGTAAAATTGGCTACGGATGATGGAATTCTGCTTGTTGCTATTATTTAAGGGCTGACGCCGCTGGGGGGTCGCCTAGAGGGGAGAGGGGGGGGGACAGGGTTGAGTTTTTGCGGAGGGGGTGCAAAGCCTAGAGGGGAGGGCTGGGAGCTGGGCTGGGAACTGCTGTTGGGGAGGTGGAAAGGCAGGGCAGAAGGCTTCACTGGGCGCTCGCCCCCCGAGCGGGGTCGACGGGAGCAGCAGCTGCAGCGGCGGCTGCAGCAGCAGAGCAGCAGGTTGAATCCTACTAGGAAGCCTCCAAACTAAACGGTCCTAAGGACCAAAGGTCAGCATTATTTGGTTTAGGCGAAAGTTGGCTCAAACGTGTATGCCACTCCAGTCCAGCGCGCCGAGATTTAGCTTTAATCCGTTAAGTTAGTTCCGTCGTCTTTGCTTGTCCGAGCTCTACATTCCGGATTGACGGAACTTGAGTGCTGCATGTAAGCACTCACGCTTGCTACAGGGAGGGTTGAATCTGTAATGAATCCAGGTAGAATGGTTGGCATGGTGGACACAGGGATGCCCATTTTTATTTGCTCCTCCGCGAGGTTGCAGCAACGAAGACATCGCTTCTGCAGAACAAGTTGCTACTTCGGCGTCCAGAACTCTACAACCAAGCAGTCGCGTTCTGGCCAAGCGGAACCAAGTACACTTTCGACATCTAGGATCTAGGGTGACACACCGGATTAGACTTTCGTCTCACCTGGGCGCACCGAGCGCCCCACGACACTAACAAGCTACTTTGAAGCGATGGGTGGCTTGCTCACATTTCCTAACGCATGTGTACTCTGCCTAGCCATACCGGCAAGCTGCAAATGCTAGCGGTTGCCGTCCATCTCTGCAAGAGTCAGCACTGCAAATAGCAGGCTCTTTGGACAGCGGTCCAGTTTTCCCCCGTCTGCTATGTCCGGCATGTTTGTGGTTTGCACGGTGCAGTCTCGATTTGAGCAAGATCTGGCATGTACCTGCCAATCTTTAGTCTGTTTCTCTCTAGTTTATCAGACTCATTACAAGCTGCTTGCCAGACATGTGTGTAGAACAATCCCATAAATTACAACACTGGAGATGTTTCGAGTCTGAGTCTTTTTACTGTAGATGATTGATGAAAGCCTTTGTAGAATGGCCTGCAGATCCTGTACTTCTTCGGTTTCGTGGATCTGCAAACCACAGTTCGCCAGCACAGATCACGGACGGGTTAAAGAATCTTCTAAGCCAGCTTTCTGTCGGTAGGCACTGCCTGGCTCACATTTGCACGACAGTTGCTCCTAGTTGCTGACTTGCTAGCTGGATACTTGGGTGTCACTTTCTGTCCGGCAAAAGCTCGCAGTGTCAACTTCCAACACCTTTGGACACCAGTCCATTTTCCCCCGCCTTTTGCCACCTGCCTGTGGTTTGCCTGACGGCGTCTCGCTAAATCTTCATTGAGCCCTGCCAGGATTATCTCACGTAATTCCGATGAGACCATGGCAAACCACAATGCAGGTAGCATACATCAGGGACGGGCATCTCCATTGCCAAACCCGCACCACACCAGCCGCACTAGATTCACCCAAAAGGCTAAAATTTCCAGAGCCCAGTACAGATCCACAGCTTGCATCGTGGATCGAGCAGTCGGGGATCTACTGGAAGTTAGTTCTGCGGCAAAGGCTGTGATTTTCTTTTTGCTAGTTTCCTGGTTCATCTCGAGCAGCTTGTCAGACACGTGTGGAGAATAAGCCACGATGTTTCAGGTCTGAGTCTACTTACTGTAGACGATTGGTGAAAGCCTTTGTAGAATGGCCTGCAGATCAGGTACTTCTTCGGTTTCGTGGATCTGCAAACCACAGTTCACCAGCACAGATCACGGACGGGTTAAAGAATCTTCTAAGCCAGCTTTCTGTCGGTAGGCACTGCCTGGCTCACATTTGCACGACAGTTGCTCCTAGTTGCTGACTTGCTAGCTGGATACTTGGGTGTCACTTTCTGTCCGGCAAAAGCTCGCAGTGTCAACTTCCAACACCTTTGGACACCAGTCCATTTTCCCCCGTCCGCCTTTTGCCACCTGCCTGTGGTTTGCCTGACGGCGTCTCGCTAAATCTTCATGAGCCCTGCCAGGCTTATCTCACGTAACTCCGATGAGACAATGGCAAACCACAATGCAGGTAGCATACATCAGGGACGGGTTGCCGCTGGATGGTTCCGGTCACCATCTACAATCTACAGTGCCAAGCCCAGGCACTCACGGCTTGCACCAGATTCACAGGTACAAAGGCCGGCAGAAGGCTAAAAATTGCCAGAGCCCAGCACAGATCCTCCGCGGATCGAGCAGCCGCGCGGATCTACTGGAAGTTAATTCTGCAGGGCATGCAGCTTGACCCATTTACAGAGGCAGCTGCAACCAGATCAGCCGCAGCAGGTCAGCTGTCATTGTCATATCCACTTTCGGAAGGCATAGGTGAGCTGGAAGCACCAGCTGCCTGCGGATGGAGTCCGCGCTTCGCTTTCCCAGTGGTTCTTGCAGTGGCACGGCCAGAGCGGCTGAACCGAGAAGCCAAGAGTTTTGTTCTTTTCCCTTTTCCGAAGATGCTAGAATGTTGGGAAAGTCACCTCCCATTGCACAGACTTCTGCTCGAAAACAAGAACACGATGTCAGACAAATGTCAGACACCTGCATCGCAGAGATTTGTTGCGGCGCAAGACGTCGTTTCTTTGTATGTAATTTTGGCCTGTTTCCACACGTACGTGATTTCTTGCCACTGTGCATGTGCGACGATGAAGAACTTGGGCCCCCAAAGTCGGTGACATGGGACAGACTCTGATTCACGTTGGCTCCTGCAATCCTCTTCCATGTTGTCCTTTGTTGCGGTGCTTTCCCTTTTCGTGAGCAGAACCTCGAAATCCTGTCGTGTGCACCCCAAGGTCAAGGCATACTGGTCCGCTCATCCGGATCAGGCACGACGCGCATGGGCGCCTGGTTCGAGTCTCTGGTTCACACAGGAAGCAGAGGTAGCTGGGGTGGCAGGCTACAGCCTTATCAACAATTCCTGCTGAATTCTTGGTGAAAGTCACGCCAGCTTGCATTGGTTGCCCTTCCCACAGTGGAATACCTGGCAGGCGGTGGTCTTTGACACATGCCCTGCGTCGTCGGCAGATCAAGCCAGCACTGAAGACTGCATCATAAGGCGCGATTACACAGACATGCGCCGCTCCAGCGGCTTAATGAAAGAAGGCAGTAGCATGACTCTGTAGTCGGCTTTGACTCTGGCAGGGATCAGGTTCTGCTGCCTGCCAGAGCAGCGCCGGGACTGGCGGTGGTGGAGGTCTTGCACGAGGTGAGCTGAGTCCCTTCGTCGCTTTGCCTCGCGTGCACAGCTCAATGCGACAGACTTAGACAGGCCTTTGGGGTTTGCGATTTTCCAGTACTGCCGGGTTCAAGTGTCGTCCATGGACATCATGTTGTCTCCTATGGCAGATCCTCGCCGTCCAGTCAGCCCGCGTGGGCCTTCTCTCCATTAGCAGTGTTGCTGTGCCATGTCATGTGCAGGGGGCCTCAAGCCCAGATTTCCGGACCGAGCTGAATGTCTTGGATGTCCAGAATCACAGGTGCACAGCGACTCTTGCAGTCCTTGGTAACCGTGATTGAAGATGTCTGCAAAGAATGCCTGAGCACATCCTTCTTGAAGCTGGGTGGCTAAGTCAAGGGCCCAAACCCAGAGAAATCCAGCAAATCTCATTCGAGAGTCCGAGCTAGGCATGGGCAGCAGGGCTTCCTACAGATCTCTAGCCGACGCCAGGCTTCTCGATCATCAGCTTGCTGCTGAAAGCGGATCTGCGACGCCCAGTATTCTCTTGAGCCCTTGGGATGCAAGTTAAACCTCGGCACGTCCCCACGATCATATCCTCGGCTGCCTCGGTGGCGCAGATGTATTTTGAAGTAGATAGCGTCGCCGAGGGATTTGGCCTCATCCGCTCAGACGAGCATCACAGGTTGGGGGGGCCGGAGATGCCAAAGAAGGTGCCGACCTTCTTGGGCTGTTGTGGACTTTTAAGGTGTTTGAGCTTCGTGTAGCAGTTTGGGGTTCAGGGTTTCAAGGGTTGAGGTTTTCAGGTTGCATCGGGATATCGTTACTTGTGCGGGGAATGGTGTTGAGCACAGTCCGCATTCAGGAACTCCTCTGGGACCGTGCTATGAGGGAGGGGGGGCTCAACGTCTGCTCTGCTTTCAACCTGCGTCGTAGTCGGCTTGACATCTTCTGCTGCGGCCTATCTGCGGTGGTTTGCGAATCCTAGAGTCTTTAGAACTGCATCAGTGCCTAGCTTCTTTACAAGTTTCTCGTGCTACCTTTAGCCTGCAGTTCCAGCTTCTTGATAAAGCGAGTGTCCGCCCGAAGCTGCGCAGACTCCACTCGCCAAGACGCCACACACAGAGCCGAAACGAGAGCAGGTGTCGCCGCTGTTGCAGCGTCCCTGCAACTGGGAATGCACTGAGATTTCTGGAGCCGTTTAATTCCGTTCCGGTCAGCAATCGACCGTTGGACAGGCTCTTCTGTGATTCACCGGCGAAGACTATTTGCCTCTGACCTCAGGCAATCCGGCCCGAGCCAGTTGAGCCTCGAAGACGAGGAGGAAGCTGTCAGGGGTGGGGTCAGACTCTTCCGACTCGGCCTGACCTCCGTGCCGGGAGTTGTCCTTGAGTTTCGAACCATCCAGAGGATCGCTGACCTTGCACAGGACATGGAAGAAGAGGAGTTCGAGGAGGAGGAGTTGGAGGATGACTCTTCGCTGGAACTTTGAGACTTTTAGCCACCATAGTAAGTTCTATGCTAGTGACAATGTGTGGGGTCTGGATTGGTCTCCTCGACTTGTACGTGTAGAGGGCCCTAGCAGTGATACAACTGGGCTAGAAGAAGCAAGGCGTGTACTCTCAGAAGCTACTTGGAGCTTGCGCGAAACTTTGTTTTTTGGCGCCTAGGCTGTAGGGGATTTGAGCACTCCTAGCTGTCCCTCTCCGGTGTCCATCAGGTTGTGTCTTGGAGGGCGTTGCTTTCCAAGGACCCTGTCTTGGACGTAGCGCCTGCTGCCAGCGGGACGTGAAGACCTGTTTCACTCTGGACCTGTGCGCTCAACACGAGATGCCAGCTTCCTTTTCAAAAGCTTTCAACTGCTGTGGTGCAGGGTGAGGCAACCCTGGAGATAGGATGCACTTGGAGTCGCTTGACGAGTCTCCTGCAGCATGACGGCTCAAGCTTTTAACGCTTCAGACCCGGCTTTAAGGCGTGCTCGTTGTGACGCGAAACAACATCGGCCCGTAAGTGGCCGGTAAGTGCAACCCAGCGGACCTAGCCTTAGAAATTAACATAGGGGCTGCAGCTGTTGCCGTGATCTATGGCAGAGCTTCAGGACTTGCTCGGGGGAAAGAGCTGAAGGTCAAACCGCTGAGCTCCGGGGACTCCGGTGAACTCGCCAGGAAGGCGCTGTGAACCTCGACGAGACCCTCACCGTGCGCCAACAAGCCTTGCTCCATCCGAGGATCTCGGAGGGCTGCTTTTCCCTGCTGTTGGCCTCTCCATGTCAGGTGGAATCGGCGAGCCTTGCAGAAGGAGCTCTCGTGCAGAGGTCCCCCCCCCCCTGTGCGCCCGAAACCCCCTCGTCAGCTGACAAAAAGCAACTTCAAAGAACACGGCTGTTCTTTTGGAGGCTCCTGGAGCTCAATGACGATGTCGTGGCGCTTCGCGAGGCCCTGGGCCACATGCCCTGTGCTCTCGCACCTCGTGCTCCTGCATCTGCTGGTGCAGCTGGTGTTCAACATCAGGGGCTTTCGAACTTCGTGCCATTCATGGATATTCGTGAGGCATGAGAGGTGAGGCACAAACCTCAGGTCAGCTTCATAGCCAAGGATCGGCAACATGGTCCTAGCTTATCACGTAGATTCATTCGCAGATTTAATGCTATGCTCACCGGCGCTGGTTCATGATGCGGAGAGCCCCATCTGAATGCAAGAGCGACAGCGGTGAGCTTCACAGCCCCTGTGAAGGCAGCCGCCGCTGTAGGCATAGTGCGAAATTACAGCTGATGCCACTTGGCCTTGCCCGTTTTCGGATTCGCAGGTCCAAGAAGGCGACTGAACGTCCCAACTGCACAGTACAGTGAAACCTGAAGCCAAAAACCAGGAGCTGCGGCGCTTGAAGGGCGGTGCCTCGCTGACGGAGCTTCGGCTCTTTGTGGCGAGTGCAGCAGAGCTGCAGGAGCTGTCGCCTGCGTTTGAGGGCTCTGTCGCGTTTGAGGGCTCTGTCTCTCCTTGTGAAGCAGAAGTCAGGACACAAGAAACCAGTGTTCAACTAATCGCTGCACTTCCGAGCAGGCCAAAGCTGGCATCCCGCAGCACCTCCTAAAGAAGGCGACCGGTATGCGCCTGACGGATTCTGAGCGCCGTCCTGCATGATTCTGCATGATGCCACTGAGCAGGAGGCTTTGAAGGAGGCCGGCATTCCTGTGGAGGAGGTGGAAGAGGCATCCCCTTCAGGGGTCACTAGAGGGTACCTCGTGCAATATGACTTCATCCATGATGTCGGCCCGTTTTCAGTTCGCCTGCCGGGTCGACATGGCCGCTGGAAGCCAAAGCACAAAAGCCTTGTTCTGCTCTTCGTGGTGCTCATCTTCGTCCGAACGGTGCGAGGGCCAGAGTATCCCAAGACAAACAATGTTGCCGAGTACGGAGGTAAGGGCTTTTCTCTGCGTGCATAGAGCCCGCAGAAGTACGGCAGACAAACAGAAGTTTGCTAGGGCAGGGTTTGGCAATTTGGTTACGCTTCTAATCCTGATTTCCACCGTGAACATCTAGTTAAACCAGGGTCTGGCTGGCAATTCGACGCCAATGTCAGTTCTTCGGAGCCATGTGGCAAACTCGCAACGCTCAGGGCCCTTGGATGTAGCTTATCGTCGGCTTAAGGTTGAAGCAGTCCATCGAAGAGGTGCGAGTCACAGCTGTTCTCAGCCCTTTTGCTTTCAGGCACGACGGCTCTTGATGGCCGTGACCGCTACCGAGGAGGTGATCTCCGCGCAGTCTTGTCGTCGGTCAGAAGTAGAGGGGTGGGCCCACATTACCGGACATAGCCGGTGTCAAAAAGGACACCTGACGGTTTCCTGCAGGTTTAATCAGAGACGCCCAAAGGCATGTATCCCTCCTCGGTGGGCTCGGCTGAAGACTTTCAGGCGGCTTCTCAGTGTCGGCGATGCCTGGCGGAGGCTGAACTTCTCGAAGCGTCGGGGTTCTGGAACACATCTGTGCTTCGAGCATCAGAGCTTATTAGATCCTGCATGCGGGTTGGGGGGACGGGCAGGTATCTGTCGAATGCTTTTGGTGCGACCGAGTCGTTCCCAATTCCTTCAGCTTCGTCAGATGCCAGGCGCGACACGCCTCTCCAGCTTCCGAGCTAAGACAGCTTCTGGCAAGCTGGGAGAATCTGAGGACGTTCGGGCAGCAGCATTTTGTTTCTTGGCTTCTGCTGGCAGCCGCTCCTTGGTGGACGGATGCGACACGGGTCGATGTTGACAGGCAGGTGGGTAGACACAGGAGGCTTCGGGATGCGTAGTTGCTACTGCTGGATATAGCGGGGCATGTTGCGAGCTTTGTGCATCTCCCCGCAGCAACATCCACGTCAAGGATCGTCAAGGCGGGTACCCGCAAGAAGTACATCATAGCACATGCGTCCCTTGCATGACAGCTGCAGGGCTGGCCCCAAGCATGCCCAACAGTAGAAACCTGTAAGATGGCTCTGGCGTTGCCGTACAACCGTCAGCCCCTCAGTTCGGAGTACATACTTAGCTCGGGTTACCAGATAAGGACGGAGCAAGGCTGGAATCGTGCCGCTTATAGGCATCTTAGGAAGATTTTGAGGGGCGGAAGGTGAGGTGCATACTGCAAGATCGTGCTCGATAGTTCCATCCATTTCCATCCCGCAGTGGCAAGCATGTGCGCCTAACACTCCCCGGTTTCTACAAAACAGATTGCGGCCTCGTCCTGGGGCAGCAACCTCTAGGGCCGGTAAGAAGGTCTGCTTCTTGTCACTTGCATCGTCCTCGACCAGTGGGTGCAACTCTAGGAGCACTGTAGTGGCTCGTAATCGTTGTGTTGCAAATCCCATGCCATGCGTTCACTTCGGCCCGGAAGTGGCAGCTTTTCGGGCAGAACGCCACCGTTAGAGAGGTTTGAGAGACGTGCTCTTCCCCTGCTAGCCCGCAGCCTTCGCCGCCGTCGCCATTTGGAGGGAAGTATAGTTTCAAATCCATCTAATGTCATTGCTGCTTTGCAGCACAACCAGTCTGACTTGTTGCGGCCTCAGGCATGCAGAGTGGCGACTGCAGCTCTGAGTGTGTCCTTCGCCTTCCTGAAACGGTTTAGGCGTCTGCTTCCGAGGCGTGCCGAATTCGGATTATGGGCCCTCCCGGCAAAGCTGCTGGGAAGGGCAAGGCTCAATCTGCACCCGGGTTCTAAGTTGCAGCTTGAATACGCGGCATGGAGTTTCGGCAGGGCGCTGCGGGTCGCAAGCCCAGGGGAGGACGAGGAGGCAGCACTTGCCGCCTTGGAGGGCTGTCACGGTCAGAGTTGGAGATTCCACATTTCGGCGTTGCTGGGTGCCGGCTTCACGTGTAGTGCAGCAGGCGCGAAGGAAGGGTCCATTAGCCCTCCTGACTACTGGGCGGGTCTGAGCATGGAGTTTTGCAGCTCGCGCGGCACGATCCTAAGGACGATGGTGACTCAACCGTCGCTTCTGCGTTCAATGAGTTGATTCCAACCGCGAGAATGGGGCCGTGGCTTGAAGCCTGTGCGATCATAGTGGTTTTGCAAGACAATTGGTCACACCAAGCGGAGCGTTCTCCACTCGAAGGTTTCCGTGAAACGTCGAACACGCATTTTATCATGTCGCGTTTGACACCCATTTGCTGATTGCGGGGCGGGCGGGCGCTCGATGGTTGCAGGCACCCATCCATGGATTAATTCTCAGATCATCCAAGCATCTGATGGGAAAGATGTACATCACCTGTGCTTTGGCTGCAGTCAGGGGTGTCAGTGGTTTACGAGCGTCCCAACACCGAGTGTACTAAGAGCCGAACGGGGGCTCCTCGTCTTGTCACATTCCTTCCAGCTGCGCTTGCTGCGCACTGTCTCGGTTGTTGAGCTGTGCTGGGATGCGAGTTCTGCGTATGAGATTCAGGTGTTTGAGCAGCGCACCCTTTCATCTCCGATACATCGATGCAAGCTAAGGATGTCGGTGATCATGCAACATCTGTCCGGCGCTGAATACACCTATGGTCAGTGCATTCGTGACGTTGATGATGTTTCCAGCTCCATTGCAACTGGGGCGCTGGGACTATTGCCGATTTGTGTCTGCCAGGCCCCAGATGAATCTTGTCAACCTGTCCACGGCAATCCACCGCGTGGCCAAAATCGCAGGGTCAGATCCATGGCAACAGGTGGCCTGCATCTGTGTTGTGTTTCGGTCTTGAAGAGAGGATAAGCAGCCCGACGGCTTTCCCGACCTCGGTAGCCACGTTTCCGGCTTGCCCCAACCAGATGATGGACGGTTGACCTATGTTCAGTGCATTCGAACGACACTAATACAGGGCAGGCGAACTCGCTGTGGAGAGCAGCTACCTAGGCACTGCAGCTTGCCCGAGCTGTTAAAGAAGTGAGATTGTGAGTCTTGGGGTCATTCTTTCACTGTTAAAGTTTAGCGGCTTTCCAAGCAGAACGTGACATTTTGTCTGGTAGACCCTGAGCTCTGCGCGTCAACTGCCTTCGCACACTCGTCAGGCGCAGCTGCGGAAAAATCCTTCTTTGAACACGCTGCTCAACAGCGTCTGTACAGCGTTGCCTGGCTTTCGAAGTCCAGGGATTCGCCGCTTATCGGTGCCGGAGGGCAGGCTTGAAGCGGTTCGCGAAGCAGTCATAGGATACCCTGCAAGACAGGTTGAATGTCGTGGAAGCCACAGAAGTGCAGCCGCAGTCTGTGAGCAATGTCCGGATCTGAGACAGTTGATACAGAAGCCCTGCTGAGATGCTTGTTGGAGCTGCTAGAGTCCAGCATTAAGATGTGCAGTCGAAAACCGCCGGAAGCAGGGATAGGAAATGAACAAGCTCAAAGGTGGTCTGGTCTTTGGCCACCCTGCGGATTGTTCATAGGCACGCCGTCACGGATCAAAGTAGTAATCCAGGAAACCTCGGGTCTGAAGGCACGTGCTGCCAAAAGTTCATGCTGTTCCGTGCCTAAGTCCTTCGGGCTGTGACGAATCCGGTTTTGCAAGTCTGAGCTCTCACGCGTGGTCTCGACTGTCTGAATAAAACGCTTCCTCGAGTGGATGCTCCATCATTGTTAGAAGAGACGGTACGCGGCCTTTCTTTTGCAGCGCCAGGCCTCTTCTGCAGGCAGGGGCATCAGGGCATCGTTTTCTGCCAAAATAGCAGGGTACATGCCACCCGCCTACTGCAGATGGACACCTGCTGCGCAGAAATCTCCGGGAACCGCTGTGGGACTCATGCAAATCTTAAAGCTCGCGCTTAGGGTCAAGAGTTAACAGTGCTCATCGTGTGCTCATCGTGCTCCCAACCTCGAGTGAGTCGGAGAAAAAATCCTCCGAGAAAGGCTGCTTCAGCTCTCCCGCAAAGCCCACACAGCGCCAGGTAATATCCCTGGTATGTATATCCAACATGGTGTCGCCCTCGGAGTGCTTGCGAATCTCGGTAGTCATGAGAGTGCTGTGTTCCCGTTGGCCAAGGAGGCTTGAAATTGGGACAGAGAGAGCGAGGGAGATGCAGAGGGGGGAAGGGGTTGCTGCAGGGACTTAGGATTTTGAAGTAGAGGGCGCGGTGACGAGGCCATGCGAACAAACTTCAGGGTCGGGGGGCTTTCGCAGCAACCTTTCGCTACCAGCCAAACCGAACGTGAGGACGAAAACCGTCCATACAGCCCGAAGGCCTCTTCCCCACAAACGAAAGGGGGAGGGAGGCGCCTCGGCGCGGCTTAGCGCAGCCAACCTGAACCCATCGAAGGAAGGAAGGACGGAAGGACGGAAGGAACGAGATGCAGAGCATGACCTGGAGAGCTTTGTTGGTTTATGGTGTCTGCCGTGTGTTGGGGTGTCAGGTGGACTCATGTTTCAGAACGAAGAGGATCAAAGCGAGAGAGAGACACAACATGCAGCTGTCACTGCCTGTAAGATGAGGGACTGGCCGTTCGGCAAGAAGATTGCTTTTTGCGGTAGCATTGGCATGGTACGGAGTGTGTGCGGGTGTCCTGCTGTAGTTCCTGCTGGACTAGCTACCGGTTTGCTGCTCGGCCGGAGTGGTAGGAACGAGAACAAGTTTCGGCAAGGGTGACCTGCCTTTGCAACCCGTGAAGCTAGCTTGCAAGCAAGCAGAGGGCAGAGCACAACCCATAAGAAACATGGAGGAGCAAGTGAACGCCTGAGTAGATGACGGACTGTCAAAGCTCTGATACCCACCGTGTTGGTAATGACTGTTCTGAGCCTTTGACATTGAACGGAGCTGTGACCGATCGCACAGCTTCCGCAGCAGATTCGGCAAACTGAATGCTGTAATTCCGGCACTTACCTGTGTTGGCATGCAGCAGTTCGCCCTTGCACAAGGCACTTCTCACCAGAGACGGTTTCTAGGCTGCCTTGCAGGGGTGCTATCTGCGGTGCAGGCCCAATTCAAAAGCTTCGAGCTCTCAACCACGCTGTGGGCCCTAGCGAAGCTTGGCTCTATGGAGGACAGACTCTCGCACTCTGCCGATGCTGCAGAATTCTCTCGGAGACACCTCAGCCGCGATCATGATAGACCTGCTTCATCCCCATCGCCCGGTCTGGCTAGTCTACAGCTGTCGCTGGAGCAGCAGTTTGCGTCATCAGACAAAATGGCCCTATCCGGAAGGATGCAGCACCTGTGGACAAGGCCGTTTTCTATGCTGCAGCGCGCTCAAGTTGAACAATCCTGGTGCGAAGTCTGGGGTTTAGGCTGTGAGACTGATCTCCGTATTTCCTGAACATGCCGAGACGTCAAATTCGTCCTTGTTTGTCAACCGCCCAGCCCCGTGCATGGAATGGACCAAGAAATAAAAAATGAAATAAACAAGGCCAGCAGATGTGAGCGAGCAGCACCGGTCCGTTCCAGTCTTGCCAGTCTCGTTGCGACACGGGCGACTGTTGCAGACCTGATCGCTGCCCGCAGCCCACTTGAGGCCGCGACGCACATACACAACAACGTCAAAGAGCTCCTTAGTCGAATTGATGACGTTTCTTTTTCGGGTGTTTGCCTGCGTGGCGGTTTACAGCCTTAGAGACCTCCTCTTCGGAAGGAACAGACGGCGAAATTTGCAAGTCTTCTTGCCGTTATCCGTCCTGTTTGAGTCCACGTCTCCTGGCAGGTTTGGATTTCGCTGTTTGGCCACAACAGCATGGGCTTTTGCCACGTCAAGGTCAGCACCTCAAATTTCACGATGAGACGACTCTGGCACATGTGGCGCAACTAGCACCTTAGGGAGATCGTACAGGTGCACGATGATAAAACGGTAGAGAATCTCTAGCTCCAAGGGGTGCCCGGGGGACCGATCGGACCTAAGTCAGTTGAACAACGCCAAGTGAAAGTGCGAATCGCGTCTGCGGATTGAAACACTTACATGTACATCCCGATGATGCCAAGCCATGCACTGTTGCCAAGCCTGGTGCTGGTTCCCATCACAGAGGGCTGCCAGATGGTTGCTTTATGCATAAATGGATGGTTGGATGGAAGGACGGATGGATGGGTCGGTGCAGCACGGAGACAAGGGTGTGTGGTTATCAGTCACGAGTGTGCAGAATCATGATTGTATGTTCATGTACGCGCAGCTTGATTGCTGAGCATCACAATCACAAGCAACGCTGCCGCTGAGGCAGCGACATGCGCGCCTTTTCCGCAGCATGGCTGCAGCCATGCTACCAGCCGCTGCTGGAGCCAACTGCCAGGCCCACGATGTGCGACAGTTCCCTGACGTCTGGCTTGCGCTTGGGTTTTGCGGCATCAAGCGGCTCTCGGCAGTGCAAGCGTGCATGCGGCGGTCATCGTGACGCTCGTGGCACTCGTGGCACATTGCTGGTTTCTGATCGGAAGTCTGTCATGATTGGACCCCAGTGTCTGGAGGAAGTTCCCCCCTCCCGTGCCGTCCCCTCCCCTCCCTTTCCCTTCGCTCCCTCCTCCGTCTTAGTTGGTTAGTGGTGGGCTTTCTGCATCAGCGGCACGGTTGCACTGTTTGCATCTCGCAGCATGTTGCAACTCGTGGCGCTGTTTTGGACTCCCGGCTGGATTTTTCTGCTTCTTCGGTTTAGGACTGCGTGGTGTTGAGATTGTGAGACGGTGAGCTACGGAGGAAACTACTGGCACGGTGTGCGCTTGTTCGTTGTCACGTGCATTTGTGTTTTGGGACTTGCTTGAGAAGTGACGTTGACTTCTGCCTGGGTCTTGCGAGTTGCAGGAAATGGCCAACACGGCCGGCACCTTGGAGCTGTTCTTGTTCTGTTCATTGCTTGGGAACTGTCAGAAGTCCTATTGCACCTCCAAGAAGACTCCTGCGCCTCGTGGATGTTCCGCGAACTGCAAGATCTTTTGATAAGGATGCAGACTGCAAACACACGCTGGAAGCAACCTTGTGACATGTTAGCTGCCTGTGGTTACAGAGGGAAGGGCGGCCCTCGACAGCAGGACTCTGCGAAGCTGTGTCTCTCATTCAGGCCTGGGCCTTCGGCACAGCGGATTTTCATGATGATGCTCTGTTCTGGCCTCAGGTTTTGCACAGGATCCGCTTTTGTACAGAAGGCATGTGCATCTCGGGCCCGAGAAGCGTAGGTTTGGCTGAAGCTGAAAAAGCGCTCGGGACGGCCGCTGTGAGACGGATATGATGTAGAGCCGTGGGCGTAGAGGGACGCTTCGTGGCCCCTTCGAAGAGTCCGGCCCGCAAGGTTCAACGAGTTGGCAGAGCAGGCCCTTCACCGACTCGAAGAGTTCAAGCCACAGGAGACGTAAGATGCTCCAGTTCCGAGGAAGTGTAGCCTAGATATCGAACTTGAGAATGCCTGCAGTGTTCGAGGAGATCTCGAACATGCTGTGGGGCTTTGCAACCAACAGCTTCTTCCACGAGGCCACGCTGGTAGGAGCCGGCTTAGCAGTTGACACGTTGTTGCCTGTGCACATTGCAAATGCTTTGCTAGGTGAAGGAGCATGTAGGGGCTGTGACCATGCTGCCAACACGTGGCCCATTGCGCCCGGAGAGGCTTTCTATGCCAGAGCTGCCGTGGTCGCTCAGCGAATGGACTGCCGTGCTTTCGATTGTCAACGTACGGGGGCCCTGCACGTGCGGGTGAGGTATCCCGAGTTGAAAAGTTTGCGACAGAGCCGAGAGTCAGACTCCTCCTGTTCCGCAGGAGTTGCAGTCGCAGCATTTGGCGAACATCCTCTGGGCCTTTGCACGCGTGAGGCGCGCAGGGCAGTGAGGCTTTATATGGCTCTTCTGACAGCTTCTGTACAGTTTCCCCCCTGTCGTTTGCGATCTCATGGCACCGGCCAGGCCAAAGCATGCACTCACGCAGCAGACGGTGCTACTGAGCTGCGTGTTATGCTTCGTTCAGATGCGGTCGGGACATGTCGGCATGATCCATAGTCTCTTCGAGTCCCCAGACCAGAGGCGAAGCACCCCGATCCTCGTCGGATGCGATTCTCACGAAGCCAGAATAGATCTTTTGTCTGTTCTTCCTTGTCTTTCTTGGGTCTGGGGCTGACCACGAGGTTGTCCTTGCTACCGCTTTGCACGAAGCAGCTCCAAAGCTTCAAGCCGCAGGCCTTTTGCCTTTGAGTTGCCCGTAGCCCCTGGCCCCAGAGCCCGAGAGATTCCGTTCCGGCGATCCCCCAAAGTATGGAACACCTGTATATATATATATATATACATGCAAATCTATCATATCTATATATATATATATCTATATATATATATATATATCTATGTATATATATATATAATTATGTAAGTCAGTAGATATAATTGTTGTTGTTGTTGATGAATTTATTGCTGCGAGCTGCCAGGAAGTGTCTTCGACTCTCCTGGCTAGTGCCAAGGTGCACCCTGTCTCAGTCAGCGCAGACACTCACACCCCCCAAAAAAAATGGGGGGAGGGGGTCTTATAGAGTACCTGGTAAGCTCTCGTTTCGGGCGCTACGCTGCTTGCTTAGCTTTTTGTGGTGTTTGGTTGACCTAAACCCTAAACCCTTAAACCGCGGTTGATGCTGGGCTGGGAGTGAAAAGCTCTCCGGGAGGCTGTCGGGAACTCAGACGAACTGGCACCGGCTCCGGCCACCCTCGAGAGCTTCAGTCCAGAGGCTTGGCGTCTTGAGAGAGGGCAGGTGAGTCGAGGAGAGACGAAGCCGGAGGGCAAAAATCAGAGAAAGCTGTGCGATTAGAGCATGTTGAGCGTTGTGGCCCGCTCCAAGCAAAGCAGGTCTTGGACTTTTTCCATGCCTGTTTGCCGCTCCCTCAGCCAGAGCGCAGGTCTTGCCAGATGCTCTTCGCTTCTGTGTAGTGGAGTCACCCTTCTGGCATGGCTTGGCTAAGGCCCTGGGTGGTCGCACGGATGCGGGAGTTTTCCGAGCAGTCCCTGGCCAACTCGGCTCCAGCCCAAGCTGGAGCCAGCCGAGCGGAGAGCGACGGCTCTGCGCTGACTTGGGGTCCCCGAGCCGGGCTGAGGTCAGTGCCTACGCGATGGCCGCGGCCTTGTGATCGAACGTTGTAAGATTCAGAGAGCGTCGCAAAAAGCCCAGACAGCGAAGATGCACAGAGCTTCGAGACATCCCTACAGCTTTCGGTTGCCGGGAACACACTGCAATGATCTCAGCGTCAGATGGGCTGACCAGAGAATCGCGAAGAGCAGGGACTGAAGACTTCAAGCACTGCATGCTGGCCAGGCATCTGCCCATAAACAGTCACCCAAAGTCGAACTTGGGTTTACCAGGCAGCAACCGCGAAGAAACGAAGCTCTCGATAGATATGCAGTGCATCCGACGCTCTCTCCTTTCGAGGTTCCGGTGCAGGGATCCGATACTCTGGTGGAGTGCGCTGGCAAAGAAGTCCTCGGGCGCCTTCAGGCCGTGTTGGGATTCGATCAATTTCGGGTTCAACGGGCCCAACAAGTCTTCTGCCGTCGTCGTCTGGCCTTGGTCGGAAGTCTGACAGCATCCCGACCCCAGCCCCAGCTAGACTAGACATTGCTTCCACTCAGAGGCGCAGGCGGCTCATGCCTCATCGGACACTACCTTTTTGCTCTTCTCGCTCAAAGGCTGTGCAGCAAGTGCAAAAGATTGCTAAAGCACGTTCGCAGGAGCTGGATGTGAACGCCCTCGTGCATCTGCTGAAGGTTGGGTACATCTCACACATCCAAATCAAAGGTATGTTTTATGAAGCCGAAGCCAATCAGAAGACGCCGTGGTACAGGTGCGCGTTGCAACTATTCTCTGACAGAGCTTTCACAGACTAGGGAGAGGAGTCTCTGGAAGCTGATGAGTGTGGCTGGCGACCAGGGGTTCATGATGGTGCCAACCAACAACCCGATGCAAGTCATCAAGGCCAGGCAACGTTTGGTTCTACTTCAGTGCAGTTGACACCTCATTGGCATTAAACACCCCGCATACACTTCCAAGCACACTCAGTGTTTTGATTGGCGAGTCCGTTCTCGTTCAGGTGCTTGCAGAAGGTATTGCTGCCCAGCTCGATCGGGTCCGAACACAGGCCGGGGCCAGATCGCAGACTGCGACGGAGTGAAAGCCGCCAGCCCAAGGAGATGCAGAGCTTGGGCCGCCTGTTGAACAGAGGCCCCCTGTGTCGTCACGCTCTTTTAGGCTTTGGGCTACATCGCCGGACTTCAGGCCGAAACCTAGGTTTGTTGCTACCTATAATTATAATCAGCCGAATCCAGAGAAGCCTCGTCAAGCCTTGTGTGCGGTCATTCTAGCCATTGCTTTGCATACATAGGTACATGGAAGTGCACTGCCGATCAGTCGATCTACCGATCTGCCGAAATGCAGATCCACCAACCTACTCACCTACCTACCTACCTACCTACCTGCCTGCCTGCCTGCCTGCCTGCCTGCCTGCCTGCCTGCCTGCCTGCCTGCCTCCCTACTTACCTACCTACCTACCTACCTACCCACCCACCCACCTGCCTGCCTACCTACCTACCTACCTACCTACCTACCTACCTTACCTTACCTTGCCTTACCTTTACCTTTACCTTTACCTTTACCTTTACCTTTACCTTTACCTTTACCTTTACCTTTACCTTTACCTTTACCTTTACCCTTACCCTTACCCTTACCCTTACCCTTACCCTTACCCTTACC